TGATCAGGAGCCCTGAGAGAACAAAATGAGGCTTCCTTCTTACTGATGTGCTTTTTTTTCCCAGCTCGGGCTCCTACAAGGACTCTGAAGGTCTGCGTCACCATGATGACTTCGATGTGTCCCTCCTGGTTTGTCACAGTGCTGCACCGTTTGAGGAGCAGAGCGAGGCAGAGAGACGCATGCTCCGGTGAGCACTGGGGGCCAGTGGCAGCAAAGCTTCCTGGCTGGGGAGGAGGGCTCTGGGAGGGACTGATTCTGTCTGGAACAGCACTGGCAGAGTTGTTGGTGTCTGGGGAGGATCATCATGAGAACCTGGGCAGAGAAGCATCCTTTCTGGCAGGGACAGAGGGGCCTGTGGTTCATTTACAGTGCAGCTGAGAGGGGAGCAGCCCTTCTCCAGCTCAACAAGTGTCTCCTTGCTCCCAGGTTGCGTTTCTATGTCATCATGACAAGCCAGCGGGAGCTCTTTCCGCGGCTCACGGCCGACATGCGCCGCTTCAAGAAGCTGCCGCGCTTGCAGCGGGAGGTGCTGGAGCCTGTGGTAGGCCGGGCGGCCTGGGAGGCAGCGGAGCCGGAGCCGAGCCTGGGCCAGCAGCCATCGGCAGAGCGGGAGCTGTGGCAGGACGTGGAGGACAGCAGCGAGTTCTACGCGGGGGGCACGCAGGTCAAACTGGGGCCAGGGCTCTTCTACACCTCTCCGCTCTTCCCCTTGCTGGCCTCTGAGGTGGCCTCAGCCCAGAAGCAGCTCAGCAGCATGGTGCAGCTGGCCAAGTGCCACTGCCGCAGGGACAACCTCTGGAAGCGCCTCTTCCTTCTGGAGCCTCTGGCTTCTGACAAGCTGAAGCTGGGCAAGCTCTCGCTGGTGGAGCTGGAGGAGCTGCTCGATGCCGTGCATGGGAAATCCATCGCAGATGTCGACCCCCAGCTGGTGAGCAGCAGAGATGGGGCACAGCAGCTGCTGTTCTGCTCTGGGAGGGAGTGGGGTGCCAGGTGAAGGGGCCTGCAATGCACATCTCTTCCTGCTTTGTGGGAAGGTAGAGGCAGGAACACAGCTCCTAGGTGGCAGGGGAAGGGGGAGACTGCCTGGACCTGTTTATAGAGAGTGAACAGCCCTCAGTCAGCATCCTCAGTGGGCTGTGAAGGTTGCATCTGATCTGGGGTCAGAAGGCTGCTGTAGCATTGTGGCTGCTGGTGCCATGGCTAGAGGGAGGCTGAAGATCAGGCCTTTTCTATGCCTTCAGGAATGCTTCCTCACCATGACAGTCTCCTGGTACCAGAGCCTCATCAAGGTGCTGTTGAGCCGCTTTCCCCAGAGCTGTCGGCACTTCCACAATGCTGAAACCGGCACCCAGTATCTGGTAAGACACAGCCCGCTGCCCACCTGCAGCCTCTGTCCCTGTGTCCCTGTCCTGGGTTCTGTACTGGCTCCTTTCTAACGTGCTCTGTGACTCTCCTGACAGGTTGTGCTCAACCAGAAGTTCACAGATTGCTTTGTTCTTGTGTTTCTTGATTCTCATTCAGGAAAAACGGTGAGTCCTTGGGAACAGAACAACAGCTATGTTGGCTCAGGCCAGGAATCTGTCTAGATTGATCCAGCAGTGGCCAAGGGCAGGTGTGCATGAGAACATGACCAAGTCAAGAAGCTGTAATGCTTCTCCTGAATACTGTCCCAGCATTTGAGAATCAGTAGCTTAGGCCCATCCTGAGCTGGAATTGGCCTTTGCATTTATTTAATAGCCCTCCACAGCTTTATTTCCTTTGGTTAATTTCTGGCATCCATGATTTCCCCTGACTTGCAGCTCCATTAAGCAGTTGCAGTCTAGATGAAGAACTTGGCTTATTTTTGAAACTCTTACTGTTCTTTCCATGTGATGTCCCTTTGTTCTTGTATTAGAAAAGAGTGAACACTTGATCCTCTTTTCTTCACAGGATTGCTTTTGGATCATTTTCTCAGTTGTCTCTCTATCCAGGCTAAGCAGTCCTTCTGTATTCAGTCCAAAGTCAGATCACACTGGGTCTGGCTGGGAGGGGTCACCAGTGCTGTGGGCTGCTCCTGCCTGGGCAGAAAGGAAGGGGACCTGCACTGTCAGGGTCTAGCAAACCTGCAGGGGCCTTTGCCTTCACTGAACTTGAGGGCAAAAATACTTTGCTTTCAGCTGTGCTTCCAGGCAGGGTGCAGGATGGATCACAGGGGATGCAGCTCCATGTGAGAGCAGGGGATCTACAAGAGGCTTCAGTCCACAATAAGGCTTCTGCAGAGACTGCAGAATAACTGATGCCATGTAAAATAAATCATGCTCCATCTGAAAAGCAGGTAGGGGAGACATAAGAGGTGGTGCTTGCTGAAAGGCTGCTCAGTGCCTCCTGCCACCTGATGGTCATAGTGTCATCTTGTGGCCATTGATATGATAAACCCAGAACCTCCATCCCCTCTCCCAGTGACTCTCATTTTGTAACAGAAATCCTTTGTTTTCGTAACGTTGTATTTTGTGCTTAGCATTCATCCCGTTCTTGTAGCCTCTCAAAACTCTCTCAGGGCTTTTTTCTTTTTTTTTTTTTTTGCATTATCCCAATCCTCTTTTGTATTAGTGCCTCAAATTTTATCAGCATACTCCGCATGTTTGTACCAGACTTGTTAAAGTACTAGGCAATGTGAGTCCCAAAGCCTGTCCTGAAGGAACTCTATCTGTAACCTCTCTCCATTTCCCCTTTCAGCACTGCCATGTTCTCATCTTAAAAATTTTGGTTAATTCCTATCTTTTCAGCTTACCTAAATTTCCCATGTGACACCACATCAAATCCATCCTGAATCTCAGATAAGATGTACCATGATTCCTTTGTCTAGAAATACTGCCTTATCAGAGAGAATTTTAGCATTAGCACATCACTTTGGTAACAGTGAGCTGCATTTCCCTCATGGTTCTGTCTCCCCCAGTCTGCTCCGAAGCCTTGCATGCTGCTGGAGCTGGGCTCACAAATAACTTCCTTTCTCCTCCTAAATGATGGTGGTACAATTGCTGTTTTGTAGTTACACAGCTCTTCTCATGGCTTTACCAGTTAGTAAGGGACCCTGGCTACTGGATGTGCTGCATTTCAGCTCTGGAGAACATCCTGTCCCTGTGTCTTGCCTCCATGACGCTGATCTGAGTGCACTGAGTCACATTTTTGTTCTGCTTCAGCTCCTGCAACCTCTGCCTGCTCCCTGTTCCTCTCTGCCTTTGCCCTGCCTTTTCAGTACAGTCACTAGTCAGAGTGGAGCAGGCAGCATTTATTTTTAGGATTGCGGTTATTACATTTCATCTCCTCCCCTTCCCCATTTGTTGCACTCCTACTCTTTCCCTTAGAAAAAGAAATTTCCCTCTTAATTTCCCTGGAAGCTCCTGTTAGTGTGGAGGCAGTAGGATCCCCTCCTCTCCTGTGGCTGCTGCCAGGATTGGTGTAACTGCAGATGTATGAGAGCTGGGACAGAGTGGGCAAGTACTGGCACTGAATTTCCAGCAGAAAAATTGGGAGGAGGCTCAAGCATGCTCTGTCACAGGAAGAGGCACTAGCTTAGTGCTTTGGCATTTTGGGACTTCTCCCACTATTTGCCTAACATTGCCAAAAAAGCGTCCACACATCTGGGCTAGGGATTGCACAGTGCTTGTCTGCATCCTGTCCCCTGACCCTCTCCTCCCTCCTGGCAGAGCCTCACTGTGGTTTTCCGGGAGCCGTTCCCAGTGCAGCCCCAGAACAGCGAGAGCCCTCTGCCACAGCTCGTGTCCACGTACCATCACCTGGAGTCAGTTATCAACACCGCCTGCTTCAACCTGTGGACAGGCCTGCTCTAGCACCGGCACCCACGTCCTGGAGCAGCGCCTACTCCGACCTGGACACGGCCGTGCCATTGTGACCATGGGGAGAAACGGGTCTCGGGGGGACCTGGGCGTGGGCACTGCAGGCAGCACTGCCAGTGGCACACATGGCTACTGACCGAGGAGCCTGGGGGTGTGCACCTCCTCGCTGGCTGGTGTGGCCCTTGCGTGCTGTTTTCAGTGGGTTTGATACTGAATGGCCTTGAACCAAACAGCAAGGGCAGGAACTTGGCTGCTGCAGCCTGGCTGAAGCAGAACAACTCTCAGGGACATGGCTTTGGTAACCATAGGTGAGTTCTGCCTGCTGGAAAGGCACTGAGGAGCGTTCATGGCATCATCTTCTGCCCAGGACAGCACTGCACAGTGCTCTGGCTTTAGGAAGAAAGACTCCTGAGTACAGGGCTGCCTGACTGGCAGTGAGGACAACTGCTTCAGGCCTTTTGCTTTCCTTGGGAGAGCATGAATGGGACAGGAAGGGTGAACTGGATCACAGGAAGGTTTTATGGAGGTGTACATTTGAGCCATTGGTCTATCTGTGAAATAAACTGAACCAGATCCCTGCTCAGTCGCTGTAGGCTGTGGAACGCTGCCTGTGGAGGATGCAGAGCAGCCCTGGCTATGGGGCTGGCTGGGTTTGCTCTGGAATCTTACACTTGCTCCAGAGCAGGAGCAGCAGGGCAGTCAGCCTTGAGTATCCATGTGCAGGCAGCTCCCAGCCTGTTACCTTGGATCAGACAGCCTGTGAGGGGACTGCTTGCTTCACTTGCAGCCCTGCTGCAGTCAGTGCTGGGCACTGGCAACAGCCTTGAGAACTTCAGTACCTGGAAGTAAGTCTAAAGTGTTCTTTCCACAACTTCAGGCGCCAGCTGGAATGCTCCCCTTATTGGGGAGACTGGAAACCTCTCCCTGGACACCCCTGCAGCCTCGAATTGAAAGTTTCCTGTGTGCCTGAAGTCGCCTACAGTGGTGTCTGAGCCATCACTAAATTAAACATGCTGCAGGTGGTACTTGTGTAGATGAGGGTCCAACAGCTTGGGCTGGCCCAGTAGAGCCTGAGGAAGGGAAATGACATAGATGCTCCTAACCTCATTCTAGGAAATCATCCCACCCACCACACTCCCCTAGTCCTAGAGAAGACACGTGCTCCTCTTTTAAGCCATTGCTTTGTCTTTTATTCTCATGGTTTTCTAGTTTTACTTGGCTGCCTTGCTGGTCCCACCATGCTGCAGCCCTCGGCTCTCCCAGTAGGATCGCAGCCAGCCCAGACCTTCCAGGGTGTCTCCTGCAGTGGCAGACAAGGTCTCTTGCTGCAGCTGGAGCAGCTTCTGTTCAGGACAGAGCCCTCATCCCCAGGTAGGGATAACACCCAGTACCTGTGCCCCCCAGGACCTGCCTGTCTTGGCACAGTACCCAGCCAGCTGGTCTGTGCTTGGCCCTGCCCGTGGGGCTCAGACCTGCAGAGCACTCACCCTTGGGAGCATACTCGCACCCCACGTAGCCAGTGTAGCCGAGGGACTCCAGGAGCTCGAAGATGTAGGGGAAGTTCAGCTCCCCAGGGCTATCGGGCTCGTGCCGCCCTGGTACCTGTGCAATCTGGATATGACCTAGGGAGGGAAGGGGAGAGGCCATGCCCAAGGCAGCCCTGCCTGCAGCCTTTGGCCATGAGACAAGGTGACCCAAGAGCAGCCTCACACCCCCAGCCAGCTACAGCAGGGCCTGGAGTAGGAGGGCCCCCTCTCAAAGCCACTCCCCAGTGGTCTGGGCACAGGGTGTTACCAATGAGTGGGAAGTATGTCTCCAGATTGCGGGACAAATTGCCATCCATGATCTGGCAGTGAAAAAGGTCCTGGGGGTGAGACAGGAAAAGGGAGGGTGCAGCTGGTCAGCAGTGAGCAGTTAAGGACAGCTGTGCTATGGTCCCTGTCCAGTGTCCCCAAGAAGGTATAACAAGCCCATGGCCACTAGAACTCTTTTGTGGACCTGTGCAAATGTCTCTCACAGAGAGCTTCAATGCTGACTCACCAGCTGCAGCTTCAGGTTGGGCCGTCCCACTTTCTCCAGGATGGCAGCAGCTAAGGGGGCAAGAAATGAGAAACCATTGCCCCCAGGGTGGAAGCTTTGCAGAGAAGCCCCAGGACCTTCTTTATCAACTGTGCTCCTTCAGCATCTCCCTCCTTGTGAGGCAACCTCTTGCCTTTCAGACTTTGGAGATCCTTCTCCTCTGAAGACTCTTGTTGTCTGGCTTACCTTGGTGTGGGGTGTTCAGATAATAGTGAGGGTCAGTGATGCGGCTGTTAATAGGCTCCAACAGTCCAATCATGTCTTCCTGTAACACAGTAATATCACCCTGCAAGCATCCTGTTATCTCTGCAGCAGGAAGCATAACTTCCCCATGCCAGGCTGGTATTTTCCCCATTCTGGGCATCCTAAGAGCTGCACACACAAAGCAGGACCCATTCCCCACATACCTGGGACAGGAGGTCAGCAGTGTATCTGAGATTCTCAATGAAGGTGGTTTCCATCTCACCTGCCACTGCAGCCCGGTCTGTGCCCAAGGGAACCCGCCCAGCCATCACATGAATCCTACAGGCACAGAAAGATTATCACAGGCAGCAACTGGGAGCAGCAGGCCTGCTCTAATACACCTTCCTCTGCTGATGGAACGGGGGGCCAGGCTGGGGGAGCAGACACAGAAGGTAGGAAGAGCCATCTCTCCTCCAGGAGGCACAACAGCAGCCAGCGGGCTGCCAGCCAGGACACAAATATGCACCGTCCCACCTCAGTACACAGAGGGATGACTTTGAACCTTTTGCCTGAAAAATCACAGACTTTGCTTCTTCCCCATTTTGTTAACTGCCTTCAGCTCTTTCACCCTGACTCTGGAACTTTCTGGGGCTCTTGGTCCTTGGCGGAGCCCCAAACCAGTATGTTGGGCAATTGGCATGCTGCTTGTGCCAGGGGCCTGCCCCCTGCAAGGTCTCACTGCTTGCTGGCTGTGAGCAGGGAGGGGACAGTGCCCCGGGCTGGACTGCCCTGCCATGAAGAGCTCAAGCCCCAGCCATCTTCAGCCACCATTGGGGGAAGGCACACAGTAGAAACAAAAACCTTTTCAATGTGCCTGTACCAGTATGTAAATGGTGCTGGGCAGCCTATGGCTTGCCTCGCCCATGCCCTCCACAGGGCTTTGGACTGAGCTGCAACAGGAAAGAATGGTGCAAAGTAAGAATAAAAGGGCCCTGTTGGTTTGCTGAAGGGAGCTGTGCCAGGCTAATTGCATCTTTTACGGTGTCTCTGCTGTGCTGGAGTCAGCGTGGCCTCAGTAAAGCAACTGTTGTGGTGTCCTGGTGGAAACGATTCGTGCAGTTGAGGAGGAAAAAGGGAGGATTATCCTGGGGACTGTTGTGTGGAGGTGGGAACAAGAGCCTCTGCTGCGAAGGGCAGGGTCGGGCTCGTGCCTGGCAGCTCTGGGTTCGCTCCCAGCGAGCACGCTGCGGCCGCGGTGCCGCTCTGCGGAGCTGGCTCCGGCCCGCGACGTCCCGAGGCAGCCGAGCAGGAGATGCTGCCCGGGAGAGGCGGCAGGCACGGCAGGGCAGAGGGCAGGCTCCGCTCAGAGGCAGCGCTGGAGCAGGGGGCAGCAGAGGAAGCCCCCGGCAGCCGCGGGGCCGGAGCGGGGGTCCCGCCTCGCACCTACCTGGGGCAGCCCACGGCCCTGGCGTAGTGCACGGCCGCCTCCAGGCCCTGCCGGAAGGCTGCCTGCCGCCCGGGCACGGCCGCCAGCCCCAGCTCGCCCGCCTCCTGGTCCCCTGGGAGAGAGAGGCAGGGTCGGCGGAGGCTCCTCGTACCCCGCGCACGGGGAGCAGCGGGACGCGGCCGTACCGGGGGGGGTGTTGAGGAGCGCGATCCGCACCCCCGCCCGCTCCGCCGCGGCCCGCAGCTCCTGGGCCGGGCAGCCCGCCGGCCAAGCCGCCTCCACCGCTCCGAACCCGGCGGCCGCCGCCGCTTCCAGCCGCGCCGGCAGCGCCGGGAGCTCCGGGAAGAGCCATGAGAGGTTGGCGGAGAAGCGCAGCGCCATGGCGGCGGGGCGGACCGGGGCGGGCCTGGGCGGTGCTCCCGCGGCCGCTCCGGGCACCGCGGCCCGCCCGAGCGGCCCCGGCCCGCCCGCGGAGCGCAGCGAGCCCCATCGGGGGCAGTGCTGGGCCCCGTGCCGCCTGCTTCACGCGTGGGGCTCCCGGCTGCGGGTCTGGGACGGGGCCGTGCTGGGGGCGCCTGGAGCCGCGCCGCTGGAATCCGCTCTGGGAAAGGGGGTTTTGCCAGGTGTTGGCCTGACACACGCGAGGCGCCCTCTTAATTGGTTTCCCGCGGCCCGCCCGAGCGGCCCCGGCCCGCCCGCGGAGCGCAGCGAGCCCCATCGGGGGCAGTGCTGGGCCCCGTGCCGCCTGCTTCACGCGTGGGGCTCCCGGCTGCGGGTCTGGGACGGGGCCGTGCTGGGGGCGCCTGGAGCCGCGCCGCTGGAATCCGCTCTGGGAAAGGGGGTTTTGCCAGGTGTTGGCCTGACACACGCGCAGCGCCCTCTTAATTGGTTTCCTGGGGAGCGTGTCTCTGACAGCGTCTCATTATGCGAGAAACGCTCTCTCCTTTTGTCCCATGCTCTGCATATTTTACCATAAAATGTTCATCTCCCCTTCTGCAGAGCTGCGGCTCGGGCGTGCAGGAGTGTGACCCCGGCGGTGCCCGCAGGCAGCCCCTCGCTCCCAGTCCCCGTTCCCCGTGCGCTGTGTGCCCCAGGCACGCTCGCCGGTGCACGGCTGGGCTGCGTGCCCTGCCCTGCCCGTGCCCGGGGGCTCTGCCGTGGCTGACAGAACGGGTACCATGAGCCGTGGACATTTTGCAGCCCCTTGTGTTTCAGCTTTTTCCTGGAGGCTCCTACCCCTTGCTGGGGGAGCGCCGCATGGTCCGGCTCCTCTGTCACTGCTGCAGTAGCCCTTTGCAGCCCCAGGCATATGCAAGCCCCAGGAACTGGCTGTGCTGTGGAAGGCCAGCCTGGGCAGAGGCCAGCCACAGCAACAGGTTTTGCGTGGGGGTCGGTGCCGGGGCAGTGCTGGCGAAGGGGATAACAGTGGTGAAGCTACCCACTAAGGAGTCTCAACTCAATTAAAGCTATTGATTAATCAATTAGAAGAGGCTTGACTCAACTTCTCAGTAATAATCCAAACTGTCAGTTGCAGAGACTGGCATCCATGTCCTCGGGATGCAAAGGGGCCAAGAGACAAAAAGCCTCTGCACAGGATCCAGCACCAACCCACCCTGCCTCCCCACCTGTACACCAAGACCAGTGTATCCCCTGACGGCTGTGTCCTGAGCCCATCACCCCTGCTGGGGTGTCCCTCCGTGCTCCCTGGTGTTGGGGCAGGCTTGGCTGAGTGATGTGACCTGGCTGGCTGCATGGATATCCCCAGCTCCCCTCCTTATCCAGCACACACATCCCCAGGACACAGACTGCTCCCTGCCGGCAGCCGCCATGCCGGAGCAGCGCTGCACTGTGTACATGTCCTGTGGCCTCACTCTGTGGTGCACAGGGGTTGTCATCCTCTTCAGTCTTTTCCAGGAGGCACCTGAGTGCAGGTGTGTGGATGGCAGCGCTGCACAGTCGTTGGAATCCCTGGAAAGAGAGCTGGTACCTGCCTGGCCCGGGGCTGCAGCCTCACTGGGTCCTTGCACCTCACAAAGGCATTCACTGAGGCCATGCATTGCCCAGCAGCCCCGGGTGCATCTCCAGCTGGAGCCCAGGCCCCTGGCAGGGTCACAGCCCAGGAGTCAGTGTGTGGGAGCAGGAAAGCTTTGCTGGATGGGGGTGTCAGTGAATAAACACTGAACTGGGCCCCAGCATGTGAGTGACCTGAGCAGCCAGATGGGAATGCACAGAGCCCTCATGTAAACCTGCCCTGCGATGGCAGGCGAAGCTGAGGGCTCTGTGCTGAAGCATTAATAGCATCTTTATGTCTCTGGTAATATATTGCATTGATTTTCTCATGTTATAACTGCGGTTCCTGCATTGCAGGCTGGTGTTTTGTCACTTTACCTTGACAGGACGCAGAGGATTTACTCCCTGCCGTGGCACACACAGCTCTGGAGCTGTGTCTCACGCTGCTGCTGGGGCCTGTGCTCTGCAGCCTCTGTGTGAGGAGCCAGCACAATGAGCATGGGGTGAGATGGGCCCCATATCCCCAAGGAAGATGAGGAGGGGGCACTGGAGAGGGAGGGCAGCTCTGTACCAAGCATCTCTGCTGCTACCCAGGAGTTTTATTAGCCTGAAGAAAACGTAGCTTCTGCACATTTTATTGTCGAGCTGACATTTCATTGCAGACCCAGCTCTGGCCTCTGTGATGGCTGGGACAGGGAGGTGGCAGTGCCAACCCCACGGGACGCCACGGTTGTCACCTCGCTGCCCACTGAAGTGGGGACACCAGTCCTCCCAGTACCCCATAAATCTCTCATCTCATTTTGCTGTAGGACAGGAATTATCTTTCTCCTTTATGAAGGATGTTTTAATTTAAATTGACATTTCTGCATTTTAACTGCTTGTCCCAGGCTCCCAGGTGGCTCAGCTGGCACCCTGGGGGCCTTGACGGATGAGGTGCACACCCGACCCCACAGACCTACCACGGTAGCCACTGACACTTCTTACCCCGTCCCTCCTGGGCACCCCCAGACCTGTCCCATTCCCCCCTGCACGCTGTGGCTGTGCAAGGGAATCTGGGGCTCAGGCTGGGAGGGGGCATCCCAGGCATCCCTCCCAAAGCTGTGACAAACTTTCCTGCAGGATGCCTTAATGAGCACATTGTCCAGCTCAAGCCTCACTTTCTTGCAGCCTCCAAAAACACATGAATATACATAAAATCTGTATACCAAGTTATGGGAAATAAAAGTTCAGCCTTTGCCAATTTACAGCTATTCTTCATCAAGAAAGATTGAACTGGGTGCAAACATGGTATAAATCCCAGCAGAGCCAAGTTAAGGACTGAGCACCCCTGCCTCCCTGCAGCTCCCAGCATGGGTGGGCTCTCCATCAGCTGGCCAGGATTTTCTTGCTATTCCAAGATTTTGTAGGAAATTAATGAGGAGGCCAAATTCTCCTCCAGCTCTTGGAGGAGGCCAGGGCGGGCGGTGCCTGGGCCCGCTGAGTTGGCAGATGTTGTTTAACATTCCTGGCAGTAATTAATAGATGGTTTCATCACTCTTGTACAATTCAAGCATGTCGTCCTGCTTCTCTCCAAATACAGAGCAGAAATATTTGTTAAACGTGGCTGGTGTTTTCTCCTCATCATTAGTGCTCGAGCAGCTCCAGCCGCTCCAGGATTTATCGCCGTGCCAAAATTTTGTTTGGCCTTATGATGCTGCCACCATCCCTCCCTCCACTGCTGGCCCCTCCTGTCAAAGCACTCCCTTTATCACTTCCCCTCTGATTGATGTCCTGCTGGTTGCACCCTCTCCTTTACATCATGATTATGGATTCCTCCCTTTTCCATTCATTACACAGCAGGAGGATGGGCTTTGGCCAAACCGCCTCTCTGGCCAGGGCACCCTGTGGAATTCAACCCAGAAAGGGTCTGCAGGGATCACTCCCACACCCAGCACCCATGGTGGGGTGCAGGGGAAGGGCTTCTCTGGGGGTGCTTCACCCCACAGTGCCCAGGTGGGCTGGTGAGGCCACCCCAAGGAGTGACATATGTGGGGACGCAGCCTGGGTTGGGCTGGGCACAGCATGGTGACATCAAGCAGTGGCTTGGGAGCAGGACAGAGCTGCCTTGAGGGAAGTGGCAGCCCATTAGCCACCATCACTGGCACTCCAGGGAATCACTGCAGATACAAATTAATCAGAACCTCCCAGCTCATCATTAGTTATTAATAGTATGTATTAGTTATTAGCTATTAGTTATTAATAGGAGCCTGCCAGCTTGCCAGCAGTTCACTCACAAACAAAAGTAAGCGAGTTCTCCCAGGAGTGCCCTGCTCATGGCAGTGGCATGGCACAGCGTCAGCCCCCATGCCCAGAGTGGGGTCATAGTGGGGACATGGGGAACAGGAGCTCAGCAGGGGCCAACCTGATAGGGGAAAGCAGGGCCCGGGGAGGGAAGGGAATGCTCCCACTGCGTCCCTGGCTGAGCCGAGGCTGACCAGGTGCCTGGGGTCTGAGTTCAGCCCTTCCCTGCCTGCAGGTGCAGAGATCCTATGCAGCCCGACGTCTCCAGGGCACAGCCAGCCCCTGGCTCTCTCCCCCTCCCACAGCCCCATGAGGTCAGTGACCAGCCCCAGCAATGTGGCCCCAGCACACTCAGTGTTGTGTGGGGCACAGGGGCCGGTCCTTGTGGCCCTCCTCCCCAGCACAGCCCTCTGCAGCCCAGTCACCATGTTAAGCCATCTCTTAATTAATCAGGCTGATTGTAATGTGTTTTTAGGGCATTAAAATTCAATTGTGGAATTCTCCGCCGGCTGGGCTCGCAATGAATACAGAAGTTTGCCTAATTAGAGCTGACACGCAGCCGGCGGGAGAACCAGACAAGCAGCCCCTCCAGGGCTGCCCACCTCGCCCGGCCCCAGCACCCCCATCCCTGCGGCTGTGGGACCAGCACCCACCACCCCCGCCGTGGGCACCCAGCCCTGCCCTGGGCACAGGGAGGGCAGCGCTGCCCGGCCCTGGTGTCCTTGGGGACAGCACCATCCGTGCGCCCGTGCCAAACCCCTGTCCGGGCACCAGGCACGAGCAGAAGAGCTGTTTCCTTATCGGCAGCATCAGGTCTTCGTTGTCATTACTACAGCAATTATCATCTCATTTGGAGTCTTTAGCTGCCATAATCTGTCTCTTGCACTGATTTATTCCGCAGGTCTCTTCCCCAGACGTGCAGGAGGGAAAGAGTCATCAATAAGGAGTCAACGAGCTCCGTCTCCCGGGAAAGGCTCTTCCCATCCGGAGCTGAGCAGAAGTCCCCGCGGCTGGACCGTCCTCCGGAGCAGGGCAGGGCTGTCCACACGCAGCACATGCCGGGGCCGAGCAGAAACACCGAAACGTGTCACTTCCCAGCGCCGCTGCGGAGCCGTTCCCCCCAA